AGGCAGGTCAAGACGCGGAGGGAGCCCTTCACCTCCCTCTCCCCGCCCGCCTCAGCCTCACGGGCTTCCCTCTCCCTGGGCAAAGGCGTCGATTAAGCCCGCGTGGCACGTCAGGCCAAGCCTTTGCAAATGCCCAGGTGCCTGAGGAGCTTATGCACCATTTTTGAAGACGACTCTGTCGCTTACAGCTTGGGACTCGTATTCCTAAGTCGCCGTGGCAGGTGTTTGGAGGAAAAAAAAAAAAACACCCTACCCAAATCTATCTATTTGCCCATCTATGTTTTTAGTCCTGCTGGAGAGGAGAAGCATTGTTTGTGTTTGCAGATTGAACCGAGAGGAGGTGTAGGTTTGATCCTCGCCTTTAGTCTAAACGTTCGTTCCTGTGACCATAGGCAAAAATCAGTGACTCTGTCCTTCGATTGTAAAACGAGGAGAATGTTTTGCTGCTTCTCCCCTGTTCTGTCTTCTCTATTTAATAGTCAGCTCTTTATGTAGACGGTATTTCTCATGTGGTTGTAGACTGCCTACCATACTGGGGCTCCACTCTCAGTTGGGACCTTTAGATGTTAGCGTTATACCAATAATAAAAAATGCTATGCTTTTTAAAAACTAGGTAGCCCAAAAGTACTACGTAAAGTAAGAGTTAAACAGTTAAAATGTATAGCAGTGAGTATATCAGTTCATCCCATTTAATTCAGATTTTGTAAAGAGAATACAATCTGTTTAGAGTCACCACGTTGTTCTGCATCTTAGAAATCTTTCTCTTTGGTCAGCCTCAGTAATAGAAGTTTCAGTGAGTGCCAGGGCTGCAGCAGCTCTGCAGGCAGCCGTCAGCAGGTCTGAATTGTTTTCAGATAGTTCTCTTACTCTTTCCTGCAAAATCAGCAGTTCTCTGTTACACTTTTGCCAATAAACCTGTCGATGTTTGGGGCATACTGGATATTTTTCCATGGTTGTAATGTTAGGTTTAGCTGAAATCTGCTGTTAGGTCTAATCCTTTCATAAACGTTCATAAGAGCTGTCGTGTTTTTGGTTGGCTGGACTGGACAGGGTGCAAATAGGCCTTGTTTGCAAACCCTTTCTTTTTTGCTGTCTTTTTGATCTCATTGGCTCACCCAGGCTAAACCAGGGGATCTTTTGTTAGTACTTGCAAGAGACCTTTGAAAAGGATTCATGTTCAGACCCATATAGATGCTTGTAATTAAACAGCCGCATCGTCCTTGGATCTCCAGTGAACCACCATACCACAAGCTGAACAAGGAGGTACCTTTTGGTGCATGTGCATCACAGTAAATACTTCAATTATTACCATACGCTGTCCTTAAGGAGGGGAAGGGATATGGGCTTACCTGTATCAAGGTTGAAGCAGATCCTCGCCTCTTCTAGGTAAGGGGTGTCACTCTTAGACCGGAGTCTTCTGATGGGTCTCCGGTCTATGTCCTCCTCAGAAGATGGTGACATCAGTGTGGGCACAGTGAGAAGAGTTGCCCGACGAGCTAATAAGAAAGAATGAAGGGGAGAACAATGGAAGAAAAGGGAAGGGGGAAGCAGAAGAAGCAGTGGGAGAGAAGAAGAAAGAAAGAGAAAGGAAATCACTCAATGTGAAAGAAAACCTCTTTTCTATGTAGTAGAAAAGTCTGTTTCCTTACGGTCCCTTCCTCACATACTGCAGAATTTAAATATTGCACTGAAAGGTGCAAAGACAAGATGAGAAAAGACAGCTAAGCAGTGTGTCCTGAAGATACAGGTTCTGCTCTGTTTCTGCCACCCAGTTCATATTTGATGTTCCTAATCTTGCCACTTAAACTTCGGTTTTCACAGCTGTTCATTAGCTGCAGCCCCCCCTTTTCTCAACAGTAGTTTTGAGACTGTGGTGTCTGAGTAATGGAAGTATTAAGTGGTCTTTCAGTTTTCTGAGGTCAATGGAGGCAGTGCTTGGAACGCAGGAAGTGATACATACAGCCACTACCCCAAAACTCATTTTTTTGATGCCTTAATTTGGGCACTAAAAATTGACAGCCATTTTTTGCTCTTGATCTCTTTACGCCTGAGTTTCTTAGTTGTGAAATAGGGAGAATCATCTTTTTCTCTTCTAGTAAGGATTTTATGAAAATATAAATTCATTAATATTTGTAAAGCATCTATATACTTTAGTGATGCACCAATCAAAAGCCCATAAGGAAATTAATATTTCTGTCTTCTGAAGGGGGTTTAAATGGCTTGGGGCCATGCCTTCAAGGAGGAGAAAGCAAAATATTTAATATTGGCTTATTAAGTGAGCACTGCCCACTCTGTGCACTGATGAAACAAGTTGTAGGATGGCAAAAAATTACTGTGTCATCATGTAATTAGAAGCTGTGCCATAATACATATGTATAAGGCGACTGAATTAATGTTGCAGAGGCAACTTTAATTCTGGCATTGTCTGGGTATTTAGCACGTGCCTTTACAGCCTTGATAATGTTCCTTTAATGTAGGGGTTTTTTATGTGAAAAGTAACTATGAGTGTCTGCCCAATGCTTTGTGTGCTGAGCCTATAGATTACAAATCACAAATAACAGAGCCCCTATAAATATCTCCCTGTCAATTCTCCCTGCGAGTAGAAAAAGATCATCACAAATGCTGGATGGCATCTGGCTGATCACTTCAAGCATGAGTAGCATGCTAGATAAGTACCTTGTCAGTATGTTCTCTTCTTTCACATATAGCTGGAAAGAGAATTCCTGCTTGAAAGTCCATCCTTACCCTTCAAGTGGCACAACTTTATTGTGGGACTATGTAAGAGAATGTACTCTCTCATGTAAGAAGGCCTCCCAAAAATTTACGGTTTAGGAGGTTTGCATCACCCCTCACACCCTGTCCCTTTATTAGGACTTTGACATGAGCTTGGGAGAGCTGGATTTAATTCTTCTCCCTGCCGCCCCAACACACTTACATGCCTTCAGATGGGCCATGGCATGCCCTTGCACTCTTTC